TACGAAATTTTATTGGGGAAAAATTTTCTAGAACATTGTTTGTTACACATCCCGATTTAGCAAAATTCCTGACTGTAATATGGGTTCATTTAATTCACTTTTTTTTATTGATTTTTTTATCATCTGAGCCTTGAATTGTCAAATCATCTGAACCTTCTATATCTGATTCATCAATATTTGTTTCATCTATAAATGCTTCATCCCAAATTTCAGTAGTCAAATTATCTAATTCTTCTTATTCTATACTATCTATTTATAATTTATTTTTTTTTTGAATAAGGGAAAATAAATTCATATTTAAAGTATATGTATATACAGTATTTTTTAATAATTTAATAGCAATGAAATAAGATTTAAATTAAGTCAATACTTTTCTCTGAAAATTCAAAAAGATACAAATTATGATTCTTTTCTAAAATATTGAAGTAGTGAAACACATATATGTATACATTATTAGTATAAATTTTTTTTATGTGGATGGAAAAATAATTGTGTAGTTTTCTGCCAAAATTCATCTGCCAATTGAATTCCCATGAATAAATTATTTTAATTTATTAATTGAATATTAATTTTGGATATTTTAATTTTGGCAGATGTTGAATATTCTCATGGGAATTCAAATTGGTGGATGAATTTGCCATTTATTATCCAATTCAAGTTCCTTGATTTTTCTTTGAGCAGATAATATTTTGAAAAATTTTAATTTGTCAACGTTTCAATGTGCACTTGCTCTCAGAACTGAGATGCAAATTCAATGCCTTTGGGTAACATGGTCATCCTCATTTGCATGGACTGCACATAGGTTACTGGATTAATCAAAAGAAAATGATGATTAGTAAAAATATTTTTTTAATTATATAATTAATATTTATGCATACACATGTATCTCAAAACAAAAGCCTTAGTTGTGTTACTGCTAAGGTTGCTTGCAAAAACCTCTAGTGACTGTCAAAACTCTGACGATTGACAAAACTCCCACATGCAAAACTCTGCTGAAACTCTAATAAACAATTAATGTGTAACTGTCAATTGATTTCTGGAGGAGTTTTGCCCACAACCTTAGTTTCTGCCATCTGTTTTAAACATTAAAAGTGATGTATTAATTAAATTCAAAAAATTTGGTATCTTAAAAGAAAAAAATACCTTTTGAACACAGTCAATTGTTCCTTTCTTAAATCTCAAACCAGATGGTTTGATTTCTTCTCCAAATATTTCTTACAATTTTTCAATGCAGATTTGGATATTGCAAAATTCTGAAGATGATAGCAAATAATAATTTTCACATTAATATATAAATAAGAAAATTCTTGTTTAATAAAAAGAATTAGTAGTAATATAAGTATACTTTAGTAGTTCCATCAGAACTAGATGATATTGTATCATCATTATCTGATATTGATGGAGCAAAATTTTGATGAGCTTGCTGTTGATGAAGATAATTATTTTCTTGAGTAGTATGTTTTTGATTTGCTTGTAAATTATTATTGAAAGTTGGATTTTGTTGATACAATTGATTAGACATTGTTGGTATTGGTATTGTTGATGTTGATGTTGACATTGATGTTGGAGAAAAATTTTTATGAGTTTGCTGTTGATGAAGATAATTATTTTCTTGAGTGGAATTTTGTTGATTTGATTGCAAAATATTATCGAGATTTGGATTTTGTTGATACAATTGATTAGATGTTGTTGGTATTGGTGTTGTTGATGTTGGCATTGGAGAAAAATTTAGATGAGTTTGCTGTTGATGAAGATAATTATTTTCTTGAGTAGGATGTTGTTGATTTGAAGCAAGAGCTGATGATATAATCAATTGAGGATTCTAAAGAACAAATCATACCTTTTTCATCATTCTCAAAAATTTCTGTTTCTTGATTATTTTTCCATTATTTTTCCTATAATATACAATATTTCCCTTGCTGATTGTTTTGGTTCAGTTAAGGGTTCTCGCATTCCATCTCGCACACAGCTCAGGAGTCATCCAAAAATAAATTTACTGTGTAGTTCTCTCCCTACAGTACTATTTTAGCTAAGGCGTCCCAAAGGTAGGATAGTATTTAATTAAGATGAGGTTGCCTTCAGCAAAGTTTTATCAAGGGGTGTTATTTATTAAGGACAAGGTTATTTATTGCAAAAGTGTTATGTATATTTATTAGTGAAAATAATTTAGTTGCAAGGTTATTATTAAGTTATTATTATTGTATCATGAACATGATGATTCTCACTTGGTCTAAAACCAAGCCTTTTTATATCTCTTGAGGTATTACAGATAACATGACTTTTACAATATTTTGTCCAATAAATATACTAATTTTTGTATTACATGCTTACTAATTAACAGGCAGCATAGTGGAAATTCCATTTATGTCACAATTTGATAATCACTGTTATGACATAAATTCATAATTGTTTAAAGTACTCAAAAATATGTGAGGTCAGTGTTGGCAATTGGACTTATTGGACCAGTCCAAGCAGTCCAGTCCAATAAATCTATTGGACTCTGGACCAATTCTAAGGGGTAGCCAATCATATTTCAGCATTTAAATTAACAATTATCACCTTTTATAGAATGAGAAAGTTATAATGAATATTTTTTTACATTGGACTTTCTATTTGTATTAATGACATTTAAATAAAGTTATTATTTTTATCTTATTCTTTTTTTAATAAATAAATACACTAAAATTCATACCCAAGTCTCTTTTTATTTGGAGCAGAAAGATTTTGTAAATTACTTATTTCTTTAGATGATGTATCAATAAAACCTTCACCATTATTATAAAGTTCATTTTCAATTGTAGTTTCTGTATCATTATCAGCAACCCAATTTAACCATTCTTCCTCATCTGAAAAATTATTTTGAAAAAATTTACAATTCAACAAATGATTATGACAAGTTTTTTAGTTAAAGTTATTTTCAATTCATTGATATTTATATTAGAGCTCTTACAAGCAATGCAGATACCCAAGTGATTATAACCATCTGGTTTATCAGGTAAAACATGAAAGTATTTTTTATATTGGTTACTTTTTTTGAGGCATTGAAAGAGTAATAAGTCATGTGTAATTGATTAACACTTATAAAAGATTGCTCAAAATCCCATAACACTGCTTTTTTTCTTACTTGGGATAGATTGTATGATTTTGGTTTTGATCTACTATTTTTTTTTTTTGTAAATTAAATTTGTTGTTTGCCTATATTTGTAAATAAACAGTGGTACAGGAAATAAGATGTTGTAGAAGAGTGCTCATTGTACATGAGCGAATGAACGATTGACCAGATTGAGTGAGCATTGAGCTGATAAAAAAAATCAATTTTTACTAAACACAATTTTTTGGGAAACATGAGATGAAAAAAAGCAAGATGTTTCTTTGATTTAGTTAAAAAATTTTTTTTTTTTACTCTTATTTATTTTATTAATTTATATATTATTTATTACTAATTATTTTCACTATTCGTTCATCTAATGCTAAAAAAATTGATCTTTCCTTACCATGTCTATAGATGGGCGTCTAAATTGTTTTTGGGGTTGTCTAAAGTCAAAATAGTATTTAGTATTAGACAAAAATGTCTAAATGTCTAAATTAATATAAATAGTAATGATTTGCTTTAAATACAACTAAAAGTCACGTGTACATACTCAAAATCCACAAAGTTCAGTAAATTATTCAATAAAAAATTCAATTTCAGCGTTTTAGACAATTGAGACATGATTGTCTAAATGTCTAAATATTTAAGACATTGTCTAAATAATTTAGTTTAGACACCCACCTATATTGCACAATCACAAGATTGAAAAGCATGAGAGAGATCTTGGTCAAATTAAAAAGTAGCAAAAGTAATTATTATTATTAATGAGAATATCAAATTTAAAAACTTTTTTTTTGTATTATTTATTATATATTATTAGTAAGTTTTGTGTCATGTCACAAAAATATTTTAAATTTTTATATAAAATTATAAAATGTCTGCCAACAAAAGGAGAAATAAACAAAAGTTCAACACACAAATGCAAAAGTAGCAAGTGTAGCCTCGGAGTAAGTATTATTTATTGTTTTGAGAGCCATTCTAGTTTAGATATTGGAATCGGTCAAGATTTGTTAGTCAATTAATCAGTAATTTTGTTCATTTTATTTTATTTATTTATTTATTTGCAGTTTACGAGGATTAGTTGCTTAATCCTTACAGAAGGAGAATCAGCTAAGGCATTTGTCTTAGCTGGTTTGGAGGCTACCAACAACAAGAAGTGGAGAGTTCACTCCCTACAAGGAAAATTCTTAAATGTGAGGGATGCAACAGTACAACAAATTGCTCAAAATGAGGAGGTCCAAGCCTTGGATGAAGGTCCTCAGATTGGAACAAGGTAGGACCTATGATTCATTAAGCAGCTTGGAGTATGGAAGTTTATTGATCATGGCTGATCAAGATCTTGATGGAAGTCATATCACCTTAAGACAATCTTTCCTACAAAAATTTGTCACTCTAATTGTGAATTGTACAAAGAATAAAACAGAAATATCATTCTATACGTTGCAAAAGCTCAAGGAATGGAAAAGCAGTGACAATAATGGAAAAGGGTGGAAAATTAAATATTATGAAGGCCTTGGAGCTAGCAATTCTGCCCTATAAAAAGTTTAGATATTTATTTCCTACTTATTTTCTACTTATTTTTTACAAAACATACTTAAATCAAAAAAATGATTCACTAATTATTTGCAAAACATGTATGAATGTACTTATTTTACAATTAAAATATTCTTATTTTTTACAGTAATAGGAATGTAGATATCCTAATTATACACTTGAAATATACCTCTGAATTTTAATAATTCTTAAAACATACTTATTTTCTTGATTTTGTAATTTATTTTATATATCCTTAAAACGTACTTGAATTTGAAATACAAATAATAAAACTATTCTTTTTGCATCTAAAGAATTGGCCAATCCAATTTCACTTCTGACTATACATGATATGGTAATTAGCTAATTACCGTAAATGCGTAATTCGTAATTAACGTAATTAATTACCACTTTCACTCTTTAAAAATGTAATTACGTAATTAATTACGGGTGACGAAATTAATTATGGGCGACAAATTAATTACCATTGTGAAAATTTTCTATGCAAACCGTTGTTGACACTATACATGGGGATGGTAATTGCATAATTACCGTAAGTACGTAATTATCGTAGTTAATTACCATTTTCCTCTTTAAAAACATAATTACGAAATTAATTACCGTATTGCGGGCGACGAAACTAATTACGGGTGACGAAATCAATTACGGGTGACGAAATCAATTATGAATAACAACGAATTAATTATTGGAAATATCATAATACAAGTCACTCCCGTTATAACAACACTCTCCGTACAAACAAAAAATGTCAGTATGACGAGAATGTCATTATAACGGGAGTTCATATAGAAGTCATATGAGAATCATTATCACGTGATTTTGTAATTTTATTTTTATTTCATTCATGTTTTATCAGGAACTTTAAAACTTACGCCGGGTCAAAATTGACCAGCATTATACAGAAGTGTTATCAGAATTTCCATGTGCCGGTCAATCTTGATCTCGGCATAAGTTTTATTTTCTTATTATTATGTTTTTTCAGAAATGAGAATGATTTTGATTGGTTCTCCCATTATACTGACATGTCGTTATAACAGAATAAATTCTATAATTCTAAAAAAGTTGACAAATTATGTCATTATACTAGTATAACGAGATAAATAATAGGTGTCATTTAATTTCGTCACCCGTAATTGATTTCGTCATTCGTAATTGATTTCGTCACCCGTAATTGGTTTCGTCACCCGTAATTAATTTCGTAATTAATTTCGTAATTACGTATTACGTATTACTATTACGTTTTTGGCAAAATAATTACCATCCCATGTATACTTCTGACTAATAAATGAATGTAGATGGCCAAATAACTAATGATTTATTTGTTTAATTACCCAACAAGGGTATTAGCATCAAACAAGGCAATGAAGACCAAGAAGCAAAATCCTATTATAAAATTCCAGGCATTCTGATAAAATTTTAGAATAGGCCATTTTCCAGTTGCACATTTTTAATATTAATATTAGTAAAATTCTTTTATTTGAATTATTTGTTTGATTGAAGTAAATGTTAAAGACAATTTATACATTTCCATTTATTATTTATTTGTATATAAATAGAGCAATAATTAATAATCCTTAATGAAAACTTTTAATCAATATAAAGTTAGAAATATAAAACAAGCACTAATAAAATACCTTTTAGTTTTTTCTGAGTCCCATCTATGGTTGGTTTGGTCTAAAGACCCCCTGTTTCTGCGCCCAAATTTCGATTTCGTGATTCGTTCAAAAATGCAATAATAATAAAAAAGGGTTTCACGTGATTTTGGTTAAAAAATTATTTTCCTTACTGCCAAATTTAGATATGATGGTCGAGTATTAGTCCATATTTAGTAGTGATAATCAAAAAATAGTCTAAATTTAGCAATGATCTTAGCGCTCAAATTTCTCATGAGCATAATAAAGTACATGTTTTAAAAAAGAATAGAACTCTACAACAAAAGAATTTTTTTGAGAAAATCTCTTTATTACATTAAAACTTAAATTGATCGCGTTTACTTCATCGAAAATCATTTCGTCGACACCCATTTCGTCGAAAATTTGTTTCATCGAAAGTTCATTTCGTCGAATGTTTGTTTCGTCGAATGTTCATTTCGTCGAAAATTATTTTATCCTCGAGCCAGAGACCGAACGAGTTAGATGTGAGGATGTGGGAAGTTAGTTAAGAAATTAGGTGAGGAAAGCGGGGTGTGTGGGAAATGTGAAGAGAAATTTGTTTAATGAAGTTTTTTTTTTGTGACGAAATGAACATTCGATGAAATGGGTGTCGACGAAATGATTGTCGACGAAATGAATCAGATCATAAGTAATAATCATATGAAAGCTTAAAGTATTCTACACCTTCTCATTTATTATCAAGTCTTTTAAAGCGATATTGAGAAATAATCTGAGTTTTGAAGTGAAAAAGTAATCCCGTTTTTGAACAGCCGTGAATTCATGTAGAGAAGACCTTTCGATATGAAAGGTATTCATTAGAAAGCTTTAATGGAGTACTTACATTTTACTCTAACAACAAAGTTCGAGTTTATTATATTAACGAGATATTTTTAAAAAATTCATGTGACACGAATTTCGAATTTATTTTCACATATAGAAAAGCACTATTATTGTTGTTATTATTATTATTATAAACGGAAAAACATCGAGTTTAATGACTATAGCGGAAAAAAGTTGAGACTAATCACGGAGTAAATTTTTACAGGGTGATTTTTCTTAGTATAAAAGTGTAAAATAAATAGACCTTTTTTAAAGTTTGTTTTATAGTTTGTGCCACAGTTGATAATTTGAAAATAAAATGTTTTTATTTCTTTTTTTTTTTAAAAAAATGCATAATTTAATAAAAAATCATAAAAAAGTATATTCGGTTAAAAAATCATCAAGTAGAAATAATAACAACAATATTATTGACAATAAATTAATTCGAAATCAAAGAACTGGTACTATCCAAAGAAATGGTGATCATCAACTTTCTGTAGCTGATATCATAGATTATAATCTTGACGGTGATTTATTATTCTCGTTATCATTATCATCATATTATTATTCTTGGGGTAATTTTTAATTTAATTTGTACACACGTAACAGTTATTTTCGTTGGTCTTTTTAGTGGTAAGAAAAGTCAATCAACTGGACATCATTACTCTTGTGAAACAAACGAGTTTTATAATTGTTTGATGGAAAGTGGTAAGTTTCTTCTTTTCATTCATTCATTCACTCATTCATCCCATCTGATCAAATCTGATCAAATAATTAATAATCATAACAAAAAAAGGGTTTACTAATGGTGAAAAAATAAATTGTGTTGATGACCAACGTTTACCGATTGATTTTAAATGTGGTTTGATTAATTTGGTTCATCGACCAAAACATCGATCAAAGGTTATTTTTTAAGATAGATATATATTTATGTGTGTGTTAATTATTAATTATATAGATAATAATAATAATAATTACCGCCGTTGCCTATCTTTAGAAAAAGTTATCTTTGACAGATATTATACAAGCTATTCCAAATCTACTTGACAAAGTAGAAAGATATCATCCAAAGTTTATTTGTTTTAATGGGAAATCAGCCTACGATGCTTTTGAAGTATATCGGTTACAATCTGATCAATCAAGCCTTGTAAACAACAATGACAAAAGCAATAGAGTTAATGAAAAATGGGGCTTAAAGCCATTAATTATTCCCTGGAATGATAATTCTGGTCATACAAAAATATTTGTTATAATGCCGACAAGCAATAGAGCCTCCCAGTATCAAAAAAAAGATAATATTATTTATTTCAAACAATTGAAGCATCTTGTGAATAATCTTTCACACAATTCAAACAATAATGATAATGTTATTGACAATTTGGATTCAAATGACAATGATAACAAAAATCTTAATGTTTCCAAGAATATATTATCATCAACCATCGTCCCTCATGGTGAAGAATCGTCATCATTGTCGTGTGATAAAAATCAAAAATCTGCTGACAAATATTTTTCTTCTACCGCTACACCTTCTTTTCCTACTTTTATTTCTTGTTTTTCGAATGACAATGATGACGATAACAACAACAACAACAACAACAACAATGGATTTGGTGATATTGATAAGTTTATTTCAGATTTTAATTATGAAAATTTACAAAATCTAATTTTTAATAATGAGAATGACTTAAATTCGATTAATGTTAATTCATCATTTTCATCAAATTTGGAAACACGATTATAATCTTTAATCATAATTATTGCAATTAATAGTGATAGTAATAATATAGTAATAGTAGGCATTAGGTGCAAAATAATAAAAAATTGAGATTTGAAGTTGCACAATATTTTTCATTCTTTTTTTTTTTTTTTAAAAAAAAACAATGGAATTTAAAATAAATCTTATAATTATTTATAATTTGTTTTTTATATTATTATTTTCAGTAAAAATCACAAAAACATCAACACCAATAACTACAACGGAATCATCAAATCATCAAGAAAAAGCCAATCACAATAATAATATTTTTGAATATATTCAACAATCGTTAATAAATTTTGATAATTATCCGATAGAAGATATTAATATTGATAAAAATGAAATATCTGCAATTCGTAACTTCTCAGAATCTTTAGCTAAACTTAGTATCAGAGGTGAAATTGGTAAATTATATGAATTAACGGTTCCACAAGTTGTTAAAAACTTTGCTAATATTACTATTAAAATTAAAAAAAATAAATTAAACAAAGATGATGAAGAAGATGAAGAAGATAAAATTGTTGACATTAAGAATAGGAACAAAAAAAAATATAATAAACTGCAAGTGAAACAAATTAATAGCATGAGAGCTTTACATTTAATTGATTCTATTTACGAATCAGTAGATAAAGAAGTTCCTTATTTCTATACAGAAAAACAATTCTCTTTATATGTACCAAGGTTTTCACCTTTAATAACATTATTTCACATAATAAGCATTAGGATCAATCAGATCATAGATAAATTTTCAATATTTTCATGGATTCAATGTTCATCATTCAACGAAACATTTCATAATTATATAGACCGATCAATATTTTATAATTCTTTATCATCTGGTTTAACATCTTCTATACAAAGTGAAATCATATCATCATCATCAAAAGCAATAACCAATGATAATAATGGTACTGGTAATAATGGTAATGGTAATGGTGATATTGACATTGATATTGACATAAAAACTAATTTATTAATTAATAGGTTAAGTTTAATTTCAATACAGATCCATATGTTGAAATCTATAACTTCTTTGATAGGATTAAATGATAATAATAAAGATAACAACAATGATGATGATGACAGTAACGAATTGGTTAAAACACTGATTTATTTATGTATGATTTCTGATGAAATCAAAAATTCTGTATCTAACATATCAAAAGAACTATTAAAAAAGATTATAAACAATCAAAAAAATTTTACAAACTCATCACAGTCATCATCATCATCATCATCACCATCATCATCATCACCATCATCATCATCATCATCATCATTATCATCATCATCACCACCATCACCATCAACAACAACAACAACAACAACAACAACAACATCAACATCTACATCATCATCAACAACATTATCATCAGCTATCACAGCTACAACAATCAAGAGTATAAACAAGAGATTATCAATGAAAATATTAACAAGAAATTTTCATAATAATAAAAGTAAATATTATCGCTATAACAAAAACTACAACAATAATAAAATTGATCGTGACGAAAATAACAATGAAGAACATACATTACATCAAAAAATTGAAGAAATTATTTCTTCTATGAATGATTCTTTAGATACTTATGAAATTGGAAAAATTGCAAAATCTTTATTTTGCTCATCTGAAGAAGGAAAAGAAAAGAAATTAAAAGAAAAAAGAAAATTTATATATCGTTTTTTATATCCAATTATATATCAATAGTCTAACGTAATCAGTTATCACAATTCATCATATAGAAATAAATAAAATCAATCTATTTAAATAATTTTTCTTTTTTTTTTAAACTAAAAATCATAATGATTAAAAAAAAGATCTAAGCTATCTTCCCCAAAAATATTTAATTGATTACTGTGCTTCGGTAAGATCATTTTGATCATTCATTCATTAGAAAGGATTCTTAAACTGTTACCTCATCATCTTTCTGAATAAATCTGGTACTTTTTTGCTTGCATGTCTGGATGCTTATTAGTTTGGTTATAAGTGCATACGATGGAATTTTATATGGGGATTTGAATATTGGTCCGTATTTTTAAAAATTGTAGACCTTTAAAATTATACACTTATATTAGTGAATTTTGCATTGAAGAATTTGGATATGACTTATGCAATATATGTGGAATATTAAATTCCGTTGTTACTTATCTAAGTATTCTGCTGGTTATTTTAATTATAATTGGACATGCAGTAAAATGGAGGCAGATAACAAAGATATGGAGTAGCGTTATTTTGGCGATGCTAATTACCTATCCAGCTTTTGCATCAGGTTATCTACTTACTAGTAACATTTTTACTTCTATTATATCTTTTACTAGATTAATCGAGAGTTTCTTAGGCAAGTCTAAAACCGCAATATCTTTTTATATCAATGGAAAATGGAAAGATAAAAATGATAAGGAATCAGAATTAGATAGTTTTAAAACGACGTGTTACTTATTTGGAAAAAGGTGCAAAAAAATAATCAAAAGAATGATTTCTGATAATTTCACTGAAAATATAAAGATATGTATGTCGAATTTGTTTTATTTTCATGTTATATAGTTTTTCTGATCGATGTTTTTTTATTTTCAGAATCCATTTGTTTGATAGCATAACTACATAAAAGCTCATTATCATACTGTATATATATTGTAAGAACGTTATTTAAATAAAAAAAAAACAATGCAATAATTTTGGCCTGGTTAATATCATATTAATATGCAAAAGGTAAATGCGATTAATTTTGTTATATCTTCAAATTGCTCAAAAGGTATCCATTCTTAAAATATAGTTTGGCAAAGATGATTTCGTTTGATATTGATTGTTGAATAAAGTAATTAATTGTGTCATTTCCAGTTATCCAAGTATTAAAAGGACTGTAATTGTAAACTGATACACCCTTCTAATGTTGTTCGTCAAATTCGCTGCAATTAAGTCAAAATGACATAAGTAAAATTGCTTCAAAGGCTAATAATAAAATATAAAAGCTTACAAAAAAAACATATAAATATATAAATTCCAAGGTCTCCTCTTCAATTTTATATTTTTATATTTTTCAATCTCTCCTTTGTTTCATCAGTTATTCCCAAGGAATACAAATTCAGTTTCCCACACACTCATTTACCACCAAACTCGAACATCTCTTGTATTAATATTAATAACGTGATATATACATGATCGGGCGGGGTAGATAAAATCATCGAGTGCTTGTGTTCCAGGGTCAACTAATTTTTAATGTAGACCCATACAACACAATTATTATTATCTTTGATTGATCAAGTTATTTTACAATAATAAACCTTTATTGTAGTGATCAATTAATTTGAATAGGGAATGATTTTGGGTCCAAGCAAAGAAAAAGAAAAACGTTGTAATTTATTTTCTTCGTTTAAAGCACTTTGATAAAGGCAATTGAAGTATCGTCCAATGGTTAATTGAAAATACTGGTAGTGTTATTGTAATCATAAACGTGAGGCTGTTAAACAAGATATTGAAGTGAGCTTGCAATCGGTCAATAAATATAACCAAGAACCAAGTAAACTAATTAATTGACAAGTACCGAATTATTGTGAGTTAATTGCAATTAAACGACAAGGGTAGCCCATAATCAGCTAGTCAATATTAACCGACTATTTAACAAGATTTATTATTTCAAAATAATTTAGCTTTAAAAAAAAAAATAAAAAAAAAAATAATAAACAATTCTTTTGTTTCTATTTATTACTAGAATCTAATGTTTAAAAATATTGTTAGCAATGGATAGAGGTGTTAATTTCCAATTAATTAGTTAATAATGAAAATTTTTATTAGAAAAGAGTTACAATCAAGATTATTTAATGAACTATTACTTGCATAACTTTTTAAATTTTTAGATTTAGCAATCTCATCATTTAAGATTCTACTTTTATGATATGCATCTGGGTGTGATTTGTGTACTTTTTGTGAATCACTACTAGTAATACTACTACTTATATTACTATTATTATTATCATCACCATTTCCACGAATTTCATTAATAGCAAATTCATAAAGCTCTCTACTAGTTGATCTTTTTGATGGATCCACCACATCCCAACACTTTTACATCATTTGCACATAATCATTAGGCATTCCTGGTAATGTTGGTTGTCGTAAACCTTCTACACATATACAATTCCATAGATTTTATTTGATGATTTTTCATCAACTGGTCCACATAATCCTAAATCTGTAATGTAACAACAACCTCCTTGCAATAATATATTACCACCATGTAAATCACAATGGATTAAATATTTTCGATGTAAATCATGTCATCGTCATTATGTCATGCCACCATCATATTAATATGGAAGCG